TCTTTGATCTTTTTACATTTTTTTAAATACATAAATCCAGTTATTATATAATTTTTTTTAAATTGAATTTAAATAAAAAAACCTGTTCGGAACCTTCAGTCTGATGAAAGGAGGCGCGAGGCTGCAGCAGGAGGGCGGGGTTTATTTGAACAGAAAAAAAGTTTGACTTTATTTAATTTCATCAAAATGTGTCCTTAAATATGAAAGTTTAGCACAAATGTTGTAAAATATTATCCATCCAACTTGTTTGTTTTTACAGAAAAAAAATGATCACAGATTAAACAAAACTCACGATCAGCTGTTTTTTTAAAATGAGTTTTTAAACACGCGCCTGATTAGGATTCATTTAAACATTATTTTCAAAATCTGACTTTTATTTTCCCCCAAAACCAGTTGTGATGAAACAACAGGCACACGGCGAGTTCAACACATTTTCACAAGGGTTTAAAAATAAAAATAAGTAATTCTGTTCAAAAGAAAACAAATAAATAAATAAATAAATAAATGTAACATTTTTTTCACATGATTTAAGTTTGATAATAATAAACCCACAGCATCAGTTTATAAAACCATTAAAGCCCCGTATGAGACCTGTAAACACCCTGTTTGTCATTTCATGTCGGGTCAACATCATAAAGGCCTTCAAAAACAAACAAACAAACAAACTCGTTGATTTTTTCTGATTCTGCTTTGTTGAAATAATTATTTTCTGCTTCATGAGTTTAATGCAACTGATGACTTCAGATTCATGTTTCTAGTTAGTTAGTTAGTTAGTTAGTTAGTTAGTTAGTTAGTTAGTTAGTTAGTTAGTTAGTTAGTTAGACCATGTGATCTTCAAATGTTCTGGTCCAGTACTCAGTTCTGCTCAGATGTTTTTTACTTTCACTGTTGGTAAAAAACATGTTTAGTACTGTCCCTGCAGTTTAAACCAAGTACAAGTATAAATACAAGTAAGAGTACTTCAGTTTGTATACTCGCCCCGAGTACTAAACAATTACACAGGACTTTAAAAACTTATATTTAGAAGGTATCTCTCTATGCTCAAACCAAACCAAGCCTGTTGTAACATTTTAATATGAATAAAAATAGTAAATAAGATTTTCTTTTTACTTGTTTTTAAACATGAAACTGATAAAACTTTACACTTGAAATTTAAACACATTTAATGAAGTATCAGTACTGGGGTTGTATCAGGAGGTTTTGTATGAGTAACCTTATGAT